CGTAGATTGGCGACGCGCGTGAAGAGCGAACGGGAGAGGAAGAGGAGGGAACGGTATTGGGAGATGGAGACGGAGATGGAGACAGAGTGGATGCGCTGTGGTGCGGTGGTGGTGAGGAGGATGAGAAGAAATAGGGTTTTGAAATATGGTGTCATCTTGTACATTGATTCCGTAAAATCAAAACAAGTAGTTCACTTACTTGGAAGAAGAAGTAGCAGCCAAAGGATTTGATGTTGCTGTTGTCGTCCAAACCGAACCAGTAAGTGAATTACAATTCAGTTGTTTTATATATGATCTAACCTTTGAGGCCATCTTATTCATATGGAAAAGAACCAGAGAAACTTACAACAGAAGTTAGCAAAAAGTGTAGCTGGTGCTGGACGGTAAAAGAGAAAAAGGAGATCAAACATGATCTCTTAATATCAAGTCCTTTTTTTTTTTTTTTTATTTGAAATAGCAGAATTCAAATTCCTCCCATAATCTTCAAATTGTGCAATTAGGCCATGATACGCCATTAAAAGGCTAACATGAGTGAGCAGCTCTCCGCCTTTAGCTAGTTGATGACAATGCTCTTTCCATCCACGATGATTCGCAGCATATCAGAGCATTTCTACCCACACCTCGCATATCACCTCCCATAGTGATGGCAATAGTCTAGGCCAGGATCGGGTACCCCTTGACACAGGCTCAAGCCCGATCTCATAACAAAGGCCCAAGCCCGATCTCATGGCCCGTCATGGGTATGATAGGTAAAGCCTAAGCCCGACCTGATAGGTTTTTTGTAACCTCAGGCTCGGCTCAAGTCTACCCATTTTTATAATGTGAATTTTTAAATATTAACAAATTTCAATTTTTTTTTATATTTTTAATTCTAAAAATAGTTTTTAAATATTTATTTATTTTTTAATACTCACCAAATGGGATGAGATTAAGGTTTGAGAAAAATGGGTATATATATGTAGGATAATCTTGTAATTAAATATATAATATAAAGATAATTTAGTAAAATTAATACTAAAATTGTCGGGCCGGGCCGGGCTTGAAGATATACCCAGGCCCGACCCGTACCTGAGGTTGAGCCTTAAAATCAGGTTCAAGCCCAAGCCCAAGCCCGTGAACACCGGATAAAGCCCGTCCTTTTCGGGTCGGGCTGGGTCAGGTACCCGAAAATATCAGGTCCATTGCCATCTCTTGCCTCCCATTTGTTATTGGCATTCCCAAAATTCCTCAAGTCCCAACCATTGCCCGATCGAACTGATCCAAGTTGCTTTCATCTTCCACAAATTGCAATTTATTAAAAAGATCAACACTTCAAAACTTCACTTTCTGTGTTTTCACGACATTCTCAGGCCGATCCATCAGCTCATCACATGCATCTCTAAATCTCTAATTTTTCAATCGCAGAAGCCAATGGCATTGATATTTTTTTCCACTCGAGGAATTTCCTCAAAACCAATCAAACCAACCTTCAACAAGCAAACAAAGTAGAATATCATACATTAGTAATAAAAATCCTTTCTTCTTCTCCCCAACGTAAAAGTCCTTTGAAGTTCCGAGGACGAAGATCCATAGAGAGCCTTTGGGCGTATCCACAAGAACCCTAGATTGTTTGTAAACAAGCTTCCCTCTCTTTCTGCATCGATTCATCAATATGAGAAAGTTTAGCTGAGATTTTATTTTTTAAACGTTAACAAATTATAAATTAATTCATGAGGTTTTGATGAACTCCACTGATTCTTAAAAGAGAGAGTATATATATATATATATGAATGTGTTTACAGGTCCAAGATATTTAATGCATTGATGCTGTAAATTAGTCCTTGAGCACTTCTCCGTGCTGAAGTCTTTGCCATCTCCAATATCCAACCTTCATTTTCACAATGTAATTAATATTAAAAAAAAAAAAAAATTAACTAGTTGACTCGGCATCAATCCTTCACCAAAGGAATCTTTCACTTGGTGAGAGCAATAATTTGGTTTGATAATAATCAACTAAGGGAGGAGCATAATGGATCCTCCACTTCAGAAAAAATTATGCAAGTTTTTTTCTTTAGTGTACTAGTCGACAAAAGCAGAGGTTAATAGGGACTCCACTATTGAAATTTTGCTTTTAACTTTTTTATTTTATTTTATTTTTAATCAACTCATGAATTTTAAACATAGATTTTTGATATATGGACTAAAAATCCCAGAAACTAATGGTTATGATACTTTATTCCAGAATTTTTTGCATTAATGGGAATTAATTAGAGGATTAATTTATAGTATCAAGGCAAAACTAGTCAACAAAGGCAGGATTAATTTATGAAAATTAACTAATTGATTTATATTATACTTGTACTAACTTTCGTATTAGAAGAAACTAATTAATATTATAAAAGAATGTGATTTCTTGTATGTAAACTTTGTTATATACATTATTGCTGGCATTTAAAAGGTTTTGCTAAAGCTATGTACTGATTATGTCTTTTATTATTTAATTTATTTAATAATATTAAATCACCTCAACTCTATATCTATTCTTCAAAATCATAAAAAAGGGTATATCACTTAGGACGAAATTTTTAATAATTTCTTGTAACTTATAGGCAATTTGGTGAATGCGAAATTGATTGGTAACAGGGAGCTCCTTGTGATGTGAAGTCAAATTACAAGAAAAATATCTCTATGTGTTAGCTTTTTCAAAAATAATTGAACGGTGATGATGCATTCATTTGTTGACTTCAACTGTTTTTTTCTTAAACTTTCTTTTGAATTGCTTTCCCAAATGCATCATACTTGTTTGGAATTTAGTTATTATGATCATTAAAGAAAATGACATAGTCAGCCCCTAGATTAAGTCGCTTGATAAACAACAACTATATATAAGAAAAGAAAATAAAGAAAACGGATAAAAGTAAATGAGGCACAACGATTTACGTGGTCCACCCATTTGGGCTACATCCACGGTAATAGTATGACAGAAATTTTTGGTTATAAAATCAAGAGAGTGAAATGATACAATCTCTCTGACAAAGTTATTTGAAAATCAATCTCTTACAAAGTTAAGCATATAATAATGTGAAAAAAAAAACTGTTGACTGAGATAAGTAGTAGAAGCTCGAGAGATTATTGTTTCAACTGAGAGATGAAATGTAACAAAGACAGTGATGGTATCATACACCTCAATCCATTTTCAGCATTGTCCACAAGGGATGATTAATTTGCTTAAGTGACACCAGATTCTTGGAATGTTCTTCCATAAGCAACCAATTTTTCTAAGAAACAAAGTTGGAACTCATGATTATTGAAAAATATTCAATGAAAAAGGATTCATAAAACTGTGTTACATATATATTCACTAAATTATCAAGCTTAAACATGACTTTAGATCTAAATGTGAGAAATAATATTAGAACTCAAGTCCAAGGGAGAGCCCAACCCAAAAGATCGGTCTGATAGGTGAAAGAGCCCCTAAGTTTAAGTACCACATTTGGTGGGTGTGAGATCCTAATGTGAGATCCTAACATTATACCTCCCTTTAAGAGCCGATGTCTATGGCCGCTTTCACTCTATCGACACTGACTTGACGGTAGCCCTTTCCCCCTTTAGGCGGCTTCACTCATCTATCAGTCATTCGATGCATATTGCACCTTAATCTAGCGTATAGATAGCCCTTTCTGTAGTCCAACTCTCAAGAAAAAGCATCAATGTTAGAACTCAAGCCCAAGAGAGAGCCCAACCCGAAAGACCGGTCTGATAGATGGAAGAGCCCCTAGGTTTAAGTACCACACTTGGTGGGTGTGAGATCTCGATGTGAGATCCTAATAAATAAAATCTCTTTAATTTTCATTATGAAACTACGAATTAGTTTTGATTATAGTAGAGGTGTCAAAATTATGTTCTTCACCTTAATTGAGACCCTGCAATGTTTCAAAACTAATGCAGAATTCAAATCCAACAACAAAACATAACAAATGCTTAAAACTGCAAAGATCAAATCGCCTGTTGTGGCCTGAGAATGGTCTGTTGCGGGCTACCATTCGTATCATGGTGCCTGATATTCAGCACTTCTTTGAGAAGATGTCTCCAGTACAGGATTTGTTGATTGCTGCAGCTTGAAAAGAAAAGAAAAGAAAAAAATTAGCATGAGATAACATTAAATTAACAAAAATGGAGTAAAAATGATCAAAAATCTCTTAAAAACAGGATGTAAGACCAGATTATGTTAAAAATCCAGCAGTAAGTGCAGAGGATGTTATAATTGATTTTTGAGTAACATTTTGACTTTATGGTGGTTTTCATTATTTATTCAAAAAGTTATTAAAATGTTGTCTATTCACAAGCATTAACACTAAATAATCTCATCCAAAATTTCTTCATCATAAAAATATCTTCCCTGTAATATAATATATAGAGAATAATTAGATTTAGACAGATTATTAAAATGTACGAAAACATAATTATCAAATTCTTGGTTTGTTTACATTTAAAAGACGTGATTTTATTCTAAAAATTTTAAAAAAAATGTAATAAAATAACTAAATAAAAAGGAAAGCAGAGGAAATTACCTGAGGGGTTAAGTTGATGGCATTCTTGGTTTGTTTTCCTCTTCAACGTTCTCATCTGATGAAAGTAGTTTGGTAAAGACTTTAATTTGAGGCAGAATTATCCCTGCTCTAGCTTTTGTCTTCGGACTAAAAAAAAAAAAGGGTAAGCTATCATCGCTAATGAAGGTAGCTAAAAAAAAGACCAATATAAATATGCAATGATGTTAAATTAGAAATTCAGAACTCAATTAATGGAATATTATTCAAAGTTTTGATTATACTGGAAATTTCATGAAGCATAATTAATTAAATTAAACTTAAAACTAAAAGCAAAACCTGTTGAGTATGCATTAATTCCACTACAAGGAGCTGGAGAGAATTGCTAAATTGAGAGATATAAAGAAACCTGGTTCTCTGGTAGAAAAGTAATACTAGCACAGAGAACAAGAGGTGGTATTAGCGACATAGTACCTGATTCAATAGTCTGCATTTATCCATAGATTCCTGCAACCTTCTCTCAGAAGGCAGCCAGTCTTCTGAAAAGATGGAGTTGAAAATGAATGATTATTTACATAAAACTTTGGTTCTTTACTAAAAATTATATATTTGTAAATTACAAACCTGAGAAAGACAATTCTTGAAACAGGACATTGCTTCATGCCCTAGAGCATCTGGTGTATTATCTTCATGCCAGTTGGTGGAAGAGTCAGAGTTTTATCAACAGCACCACGTCACTGAGTTCTTCATCTAGAAAAAGATATTGAACTTATTAGATTATGTATGCGAGCTTCTTTTCTTCATAGGAATATTATGCTTTGAAACTTTGAACCTGAGAAAAAGTATAGCTTCTCAATCAGTTCAGTTCCTTCAAGTCAATGAACATCTAGCACAGTATCTGATGAAGATTTGTAATATCTTCTTCTCCCCTCTCTGTAATCTCCCAATCCCACTCTTCAAAGGGAGCCAGTTGTTCAAAGAGACAGAGCTGGTTGCATCTTGATATTCTCTTTTGTATGCCAAGAACACTAATTCTGCTGAAAAATCAAATATCGTCTCCTGTAACATTATAACATGGTAAAATCGATAATTAGCAAAAATGATGGAAACATACAAAGTCAGGATACAAGATGATATAAGATGTGCCATGGCCAATTACCTTGCCCAAGCATTTCGTATGCATCAACATAAAAAAGAAAAAGTTCTTGCAAAAGCGGATATGGCAAATTGATGGAGCCTTATAAAATTGCAATGGTGCTTGATATTAAACATTTCATTCGCAAGATGTCATAAGTAGTCATGGCTGTTTCCTGCAGCTTGAACAGAAAAGAAATAAAAAATAATTTGTCAGTAATGATTTGTTACAAAATCACAAAACAAGATTATATAAGGATCCCTATGGCCACATTACCTAGTCCATTTCACATCCAACAATTGCTTAAATAAAACCATGGAAAGCTGATGCAGCCTTGTCAGTTTTAAATTTGCAATGGTGACTGATATTCAACATTTTTTTCACAAGATGTAGTGCATGATTGTCTGGTTGCTGTGGCCTGAAAAGAAAACAAAACAAAACTTTAGCATAAGATAACTTTAAATGAACAAACAAAGTCACCTTAACAAAAATGAATAAAGAATATCAAAATTCTCTTGAAAATAGGATGTAAGACCAGATATGAAGTTATAAATTCCACAGCAAGTGCACAGGATGTTGAAACTGATTTTTGCATAATATTTTTTACTTTTTGTTGCAAAATTATTTGTATCAAAATACACAAACAGATTCTGCAATCCAAATTTTGCATAAACCAGCTTTTAGAACCGTTAGAGACTTCTTTGAATTTAGCTTAATCATATTCTAAGACATAAACTGAATGAATGCATTATAGTAATAATATTATAATCTCCATTGAATCAAGATAAAATTTGTGTGGCACAACATGATTTGAAGTTTAACAAATTGATCCAGATAGAAGGGCAATTATTTTCTGTCTTATGCAAGTTCATGAATTCTGATTGTCTTTTTATATAAGCAGAAATTCCATATTCCTGGTTTCTATTATCTTTGAAAACCGATCCTTAATTACATGTTTTTGTATAATTGTTAATCAGAAACTTATTATTGATGAATTTAATCATTCATTTTGACTAAGCTAAGCCATCTTATTAAAGAGTAATAAAACAAATACTATCACCCAATGTTAATTATATACCTTCAGTGAACTTTCACAATCTGGTCACTTCTTGATATTCTCTCAGAACACTAAATCCCCAGGAAATAAAATATCTTCCCCTGCACTATTATAGAGTATGATTAGGTTTAGGAACATGATTTAAAAGTAGGAAAATGGTGCTTGATAATTAAGGGATTTAACATTAAAAGATGCAAGTTTATTCCAAAACAAAATAATAATAATAAATAAATAATAATTACATGATATAATGTAACAACTAATAAAAGATGGAAAAGAGAGTAAACTACCTGTGGGTTGATGGCACATGTTTGATGTTTGAGAGTTTGAAGTTGGTGTGGTGTCTTTGCACATATGCAGAATCAATGTTGAAGTTGATGATCTGAGACAACTTCATCAGCCTTTGGTGAAGATGATGATCAGCTATGGGTTCTCTGTTGTACGAGAAGAGGACATCCATCAATTTCTACCTTCAACGTTGTCATCTGACAAAGATGGTTTGGTAGAGACTTCAATTTGGGGCATACTAAAAGTTGCAAGGTCTTAAGAGATGGCATTACTATAATATCTTCTCCTCCTCTATTTGTAATCTCGAAATCCCACTCTTCCCATTTTTTCATCATCGTAAACGATAAAAATTTCAGTTTGGGAAAAGCAATTACCGATGAAGATGACAATGCGACTTCACTTTCTATTCCCAAAAACTCAATACCAACTCTTACTACATCATTCATATCCTCTATTTGAAGAATTTCAAGGGATGATAGCTTACCCAAAGGAGGCAGATGCTCACACTTTATACATTCCCCAAGAAGTAACTTTCTCAAATTGGTTAATGACATCATCCAATTAGGGAACATATTGTTGCCTCTGTAATCTCGTAGCCATAAACTCTCTAAATTTGGATGTGGTTGCAATGTTTCAAGAAGTTCTTCATGATCCTCATTCATCGTTTCGAAAAAGCCTAGACCCAACTCTCGTAAGTTTTTTTTATTGTTAAGCTCTATTCCCTTAACCTTATCCACACCTCTCAAATTTCCCAACCCTGTTATAGCAATTTTTCGAAGGTGTTTGAAGTTTTTCAGACATTCAACAGAACATGTTTTCCTATTAAAACGGTCTTTACTTATATAAAACTCCCCCAACGATAGTAGACCAGTTAATCGCTGCAAACTTTTTGGCATGTAAGTTATTTTAAAAACCCTCCAATTCAAAAAATGTCTCAAGTTGATCAAATTTCCTAACCCATGAGGTAGTTTTTTCAAATTCATACAGGCTGTGATATCTAAGGTTTGTAGATTACATAACTCACACAATGCTTCAGGCAATTCTTCTAAGTCAAAATTACACGACAAATTAAGATACCTCAAATGTATACATTTTCTTATTTCTATAGGAACTTCTTTAATTGAACAAAAACCCAAATTTAATGACCTTAGACAGGGAAATTTGGACAAAGCTATCTTAGGGTCATGGAAATAACTTTCAATCACAAGGGTACGCAGAAATGTACTTTTAGTATAAAAAGAACTAGGACATGAGAACTTATTTCCAATATTTTTTATCATTGAGTGTCGAACTTTACTGTAGGAAGATTCCAATTGGAACTCACCGGGACCAACAACCTCAATTGTGAAACATTCACTTTGGGAAAGAAATTTTGCAAAAGCATGCACTATATCATGCATCTTACAAGATTTTATATGGATATCATCATCATTCTGTTGAAAATCTTGAAAGAAAGAACGCATTGCTAAAGTTTCAAAACACTCTTCACCAACTAACTCTATTTCCTTATTTGGTTCTGATATTAAATAATCTTGAGCCATCCATAACTTGATCAACTCGTCTTTCATTATTTTATAATCCTTAGGAAAAATAGCACAATATGAGAAACACTTTTTCAATGTTGAGGGCAAGTCATAGTAGCTTAATAATAGAGGTGGAAAAATCCCTCGTTCTACCTCTTTTAGTTCCCAAATTTCACTATTTAAGATATTTTCCCAATCTTCAATTTTTATTTTGAAGCGTAAAAGACTTCCTAAAGTCTTCACAGCAAGAGGCAAGCCTTTACACTTTTGAACAATCTTTTTTCCAATTTCTTCAAACTCTTTATTAGCTTTTCCAGAAAATGCAAGTTGACAAAACAACGACCAACATTCCTCCTTGGGTAGTATCCCTAGTGAGATTATGTTGGTGGTTCCAATGAAATTTGCAACATTCTCCTTACGTGTGGTAACCAAAATTCTACTTTCTAAAGAGCCACACCTAAGAGAAAGTTTCAAGTTTTCCCAATTTTCGGGATTTTCTGTCCATACATCGTCTAGGACAAGAAGAAACTTCTTTCCTTCAATATGTCGACGTATGTTTTGCATTACAGTTTCTAGTTCAACTAATTGTGAGGCATTATTTGTAATGGACTCTAGGATTGCTTTGGCAACCCTAAGCTCATTGAAAGGCTCGGACACACACACCCATACTTTTTTATCAAAATGAGTATTCACCTCATTATTGTTAAAAGCTAATCGAGCAAGAGTTGTCTTGCCGATGCCTCCCATCCCTACTATAGAGATAATTGGAAGGACTTGTTGACTACTTTGACTCAACAACAGATCTATTATTCTATTCTTTTCATCGTCTCTTCCATAAACCTTTGTTACATCAATAGTAGAGGTGGTCATTTTCCGCTCTACTTCTTTGCTACCCTCAGTGATTGATCTAAAGTGGAACTTGTCTTTCTCTACAGCAATAACATCTAGTTTTCTATCTAGATCTTTTATCTTGACAGCAATGTCATAACGCAGAACAAATGGTCTACAACTGAGATAGTGNTTTGCTCAAGCTATGTACTGATTATGTCTTTTATTTATTTAATTTATTTAATAATATTAAATCACCTCAACTCTATATCTATTCTTCAAAATCATAAAAAAGGGTATATCACTTCGGATGAAATTTTTAATAATTTCTTGTAACTTATAGGCAATTTGGTGAATGCGAAATTGATTGGTAACAGGTAGCTCCTTGTGATGTGAAGTCAAATTACAAGAAAAATATCTCTATGTGTTAGCTTTTTCAAAAATAATTGAACGGCGATGATACATTCATTTGTTGACTTCAACTATTTTTTTCTTGAACTTTCTTTTGAATTGCTTTCCCAAATGCATCATACTTGTTTGGAATTGAATTATTATGATCATTAAAGGAAATGACATAGTCAGCCCCTAGATTAAGTCGCTTGATAAACAACAACTATGTATAAGCAAAGAAAATAAAGAAAACGGATAAAAGTAAATGAGGCACAACAATTTACGTGGTCCACCCATTTGGGCTACATCCACGGTAATAGTATGACATAAATTTTTGGTTATAAAATCAAGAGAGTAAAATGATACAATCTCTTTGACAAAGTTATTAGAAAATCAATCTCTTACAAAGTTAAAGCATATAATAATGTGAAAAAAAAACTGTTGACTGAGATAAGTGGTAGAAGCTCGAGAGATTATTGTTTCAACAGAGAGATGAAATGTAACAAAGACAGTGATGGTATCATACACCTCAATCCATTTTCAGCATTGTCCACAAGGGATGATTAATTTGCTTAAGTGACACAGATTCTTGGAATGTTCTTCCATAAGCAGCCAATTTTTCTAAGAAACAAAGTTGGAACTCATGATTATTGAAAAATATTCAATGAAAAAGGATTCATAAAACTGTGTTACATATATATTCACTAAATTATCAAGCTTAAACATGACTTTAGTTCTAAATGTGAGAAATAATGTTAGAACTCAAGTCCAAGGGAAAACCCAACCTAAAAGACCGGTCTGATAGGTGGAAGAGCCCCTAAGTTTAAGTACCACATTTGGTGGGTGTGAGATCCCAATGTGGGATCCTAACATTGTACCCCCCCTTTAAGAGCCGACGTACATGGCTGCTTTCACTCCATCGACATTGACCTGACGGTAGCCCTTTCCCCCTTTGGGCGGCTTCACTCACCTATCAGTCATTCGATGCATATTGCACCTTAATCTAGCATATAGATAGCCTTTTCTGTAGCCCAACTCTCAAGAAAAAGCATCAATGTTAGAACTCAAGCCCAAGAGAGAGCCCAACCCGAAAGACCGGTCTGATAGATGAAAGAGCCCCTAGGTTTAAGTATCACACTTGGTGGGTGTGAGATCCCGATGTGAGATCCTAACAAATAAAATCTCTTTAATTTTCATTATGAAACTACGAATTAGTTTTGATTATAGTAGAGGTGTCAAAATTATGTTCTTCACCTTAATTGAGACCCTGCAATGTTTCAAAACTAATGCAGAATTCAAATCCAACAACAAAACATAACAAATGCTTAAAACTGCAAAGATCAAATCGCCTGTTGTGCCCTGAGAATGGTCTGTTGCGGGCTACCATTCGTATCATGGTGCCTGATATTCAGCACTTCTTTGAGAAGATGTCTCCAGTGCAGGATTTGTTGATTGCTGCAGCTTGAAAAGAAAAGAAAAGAAAAAAATTAGCATGAGATAACATTAAATTAACAAAAATGGAGTAAAAATGATCAAAAATCTCTTAAAAACAGGATGTAAGACCAGATTATGTTAAAAATCCAGCAGTAAGTGCAGAGGATGTTATAATTGATTTTTGAGTAACAATTTGACTTTATGGTGGTTTTCATTATTTATTCAAAAAGTTATTAAAATGTTGCTATTCACAAGCATTAACACTAAATAATCTCATCCAAATTTCTTCATCATAAAATATCTTCCCTGTAATATATATATGAGAATAATTAGATTTAGACAGATGATTAAAATGTACGAAAACATAATTATCAAATTCTGTGTTTTTTACATTTAAAAGACGTGATTTTATTCTAAATTTTAAAAAAAATGTATAAAAATAACTAAATAAAAAGGAAAGCAGAGGAATTACCTGGAGGGGTTAAGTTGATGGCATTCTTGGTTTGTTTTCCTCTTCAACGTTCTCATCTGATGAAAGTAGTTTGGTAAAGACTTTAATTTGAGCAGAGATTATCCCTGCTCTAGCTTTTGTCTTCGGACTAAAAAAAAAAAAGGGTAAGCTATCATCGCTAATGGGTAGCTAAAAAAAAGACCAATATATATGCAATGATGTTAATTAGAAATTCAGAACTCAATTAATGGAATATTATTCAAAGTTTTGATTATACTGGAAATTTCATGAAGCATAATATAATTAAACTTAAAACTAAAAGCAAAACCTGTTGAGTATGCTTAATTCCACTCAAGGAGCTGGAGAGAATTGCTAAATTGAGAGATATAAAGAAACCTGGTTCTCTGGTAGAAAAGTAATCTAGCACAGAGAACAAGGGTGGTATTAGCGACATAGTACCTGATTCATAGTTGGCATTTATCCATAGATTCCTGCAACCTTCTCTCAGAGGCAGCCAGTCTTCTGAAAAGATGGAGTTGAAAATGAATGATTATTTACATAAAAATTTGGTTCTTTACTAAAAATTATATATTTGTAAATTACAACCTGAGAAAGACAATTCTTGAAACAGGACATTGCTCATGCCCTAGAGCATCTGGTGTATTATTTCATGCCAGTTGGTGGAAGAGTCAGAGTTTTATCAACAGCACCACGTCACTGAGTTCTTCATCTAGAAAAAGATATTGAACTTATTAGTTATGTATGCGAGCTTCTTTTCTTCATAGGAATATTATGCTTTGAAACTTTGAACCTGAGAAAAATATATCTTCTCAATCAGTTCAGTTCTTCAAGTCAATGAACATCTAGCACAGTATCTGATGAAGATTGTAATATCTTCTCTCCCCTCTCTGTAATCTCCCATCCCACTCTTCAAAGGGAGCCAGTTGTTCAAAGGACAGAGCTGGTTGCATCTTGATATTCTCTTTGTATGCCAGAGAACACTAATTCTGCTGAAAATCAAATATCGTCTCCTGTAACATTATAACATGGTAAAATCGATATTAGCAAAAATGATGGAAACATACAAAGTCAGGATACAATGATATAGATGTGCCATGGCCAATTACCTTGCCCAGCATTTCGTATGCATCAACATAAAAAAGAAAAGTTATTGCAAAAGCAGATATGGCAAATTGATGGGCCTTATAAAATTGCAATGGTCTTGATATTAACATTTCATTCGCAAGATGTCATAAGTAGTCATGGCTGTTTCCTGCAGCTTGAACAGAAAAGAAATAATAATTTGTCAGTAATGATTGTTACAAATCACAAAACAAGATTATATAAGGATCCCTATGGCCACATTACCTATCCATTTCACATCCAACATTGCTTAAATAAAACCATAAAACTGATGCAGCCTTGTCAGTTTTAATTTGCAATGGTGACTGATATTCAACATTTTTTTCACAAGATGTAGTGCATGATTGTCTGGTTGCTGTGGCTAAAAGAAAACAAAACAAAACTTTGCATAAGAAACTTTAAATGAACAACAAGTCACCTTAACAAAATGAATAAAGAATATCAAAATTCTCTTAAATAGGATGAGACCAGATATGAAGTTATAAATTCCACAGCAGTGCACAGATGTTGAAACTGATTTTTGCATAATATTTTTACTTTTTGTTGCAAAA